GAGGTGGAGGTTGCAGTGAGCCAAGATCGCACCACTGCACTCCAGTCTGGGGCAACAGAGTGAGACTCTGTCAAATAAATAAATAAATATATAAATAAATAAATAGGAGATACTCTTCTTCAGCCCCTCCTCCTTCCTGCTGGCTGGAATGTAGATGTGATTGCTGATGTTCCAGCAGCCAGTCTACGCCATGCAGTGGAAGTCACAAGCTGAAGATGGTGCAGTAACAAGATGCTGTGTAAGAAGCAACAAGGTTCTGTGTAAAGAAGCCTGGACCGTGACATTGAGGGCACCATGCCAACCCTGCATGACCCATTTCTGGGTCTTTTTTTTCTTTTTTTTTTTTTGAGACAGAGTCTCCCTCTGTTACCTGAGCTGGAGTGCAGTGGTGAGATCTTGGCCCACTGCAATCTCTGCCTCCCAGGTTCAAGCAATTCTCGTGCCTCAGCCTCCCAAGTAGCTAGAAGTACAGGCACGTGCCACCTCACTGAGCTAATTTTTGTATTTTTAGTAGAGACAAAGTTTTACCATGTTGCCCAGGCTGGTCTTAAACTCCTGGCCTCAAGTGATCCTCCCACTTCAGCCTCCCAAGTAGCTAGAACTATAAGTATGCACCACCACACCCAACTATTTATTTTTATTTTTTGTGGAGACAGGGTCTCACTACATTGGCCATGCTGGTCTCATACTGCTGGCCTCAAGTGATCCTCTCTCCTTGTCCTCCCAAAGTTCTGGGATGACAGTCACTGCACCTGGCCTAAGAAATACATTTCTATTATTATTATTATTTTTTTTTTTTTTTTGAGACAGAGTCTCACTCTGTCGCCCAGGCTGGAGTGCAGTGGCGCCATCTCAGCTCACTGCAAGCTCCGCCTCCTGGGTTCACGCCATTCTCCTGCCTCAGCCTCCCGAGTAGCTGGGACTGCAGGTGCCCGCCACCACGCCTGACTAATTTTTTGTATTTTTTTTTTTTTTTTTTTTTGAGACGGAGTCTCGCTCTGTCGCCCAGGCTGGAGTGCAGTGGCCAGATCTCAGCTCACTGCAAGCTCCGCCTCCCGGGTTTAGCCATTCTCCTGCCTCAGCCTCCCAAGTAGCTGGGACTACAGACGCCCACCACCTCGCCCGGCTAGTTTTTTGTTTTTTTTAGTAGAGACGGGGTTTCACCGTGTTAGCCAGGATGGTCTCGATCTCCTGACCTCGTGATCCGCCCGTCTCGGCCTCCCAAAGTGCTGGGATTACAGGCTTGAGCCACCGCGCCCGGCCAATTTTTTGTATTTTTAGTAGAGACAGGGCTTCACCATGTTAGCCAGGATGGTCTCGATCTTCTGACCTTGTGATCCGCCCGCCTCAGCCTCCCAAAGTGCTGGGATTACAGGTGTGAGCCACCACGCCTGGCCTATTATTATTATTTTTGAGACGGAGTTTTGCTCCTGCTGCCCAGGCTGGAGTACAATGGCATGATCTCTGCTCACTGCAACCTCCGCCTCCCGGGTTCAAGCGATTCTCCTGCCTCAGCCTCCTGAGTAGCTGAGATTACAAGCATGGGCCACCATGTCCAGTTAATTTTTTTGTATTTTTAGTAGAGATGGGGTTTCTCCATGTTGGTCAGGTTGGTCTCGAATTCCCAACCTCAGGTGATCCACCCACCTCGGCCTCTGGGATTACAGGTGATCCACTCCGCCTCAGCCTCCCAAAGTGCTGGGATTATAGGGGTGAGCCACTGCACTCAGCCTCTATTATATTTTGTTAAAGCCATTATTTGGTTTTTGGTTTCATACAGCTGAACTGAATATTAACCAATAAATAGAGGAAATAAGAATCTTTTTTGTTAGAAAATGTGGATCAAGGTTTGTAATAGAAGTGGGGTTCCCTGCCAGGCATGGTGGCTCATGCCTGTAATCCCAATACTTTGGGAGGCTGAGGCAGGAGGATCACCTGAGGTCAGGAGAGTGAGACCAGCCTGGCCAACATGGTGAAACCCCACCCTGCTAAAAATATAAAAATTAGCCAGGCGTGGTGGCAGGTGCCTCTAGTCCCAACTACTCAGGAGGTTGGGACAGGAGAATCCTTGAGCCCAGGAGGCAGAGGTTGCAGCGAGCTGAGATGCCGCCATTACACTCTAGCCTGGGCGACAGAGCAAGACTCCGTCTAATAAAAAAAAATTTTTTAAAAAATTGGGGCCGGGCGCTGTGGCTCAAGCCTGTAATCCCAGCACTTTGGGAGGCCGAAACGGGCGGATCACGACGTCAGGAGATCGAGACCATCCTGGCTAACACGGTGAAACCCCTTTTCTACTAAAAAATACCAAAAAAACTAGCCGGGCACGGTGGCGGGCGCCTGTAGTCCCAGCTACTCGGGAGGCTGAGGCAGGAGAATGGCGTAAACCCGGGAGGCGGAGCTTGCAGTGAGCTGAGATCTGGCCACTGCACTCCAGCCTGGGCGACAGAGCGAGACTCCGTCTCAAAAAACAAACAAAAAAAAAATTGGGGCTTCCTGCCAAGGTGGGAGACAGAGATAAAAGAGGGGTAGGGGAATTCTCTGAATTGGCGGAACTGGTAGTAGAAGCAAGGCTGATTCCTGGATAAAAAGAAATGGTGAGAGAAGAAATGGGAAAAATCAAGGACATCCCTGCAGTGACAGCTATTGAGGGTGGGGTCCTAGAAGATGCTGGGGAGTTTACTATGCTAGACTATGTAGGGAAAGGCCTCCTGGCTTGACAGGTTAGGTGCCTGTGTTGACAAAGGTTGCTGAGAGCTCAAGGCGAAAAGAGGGATAGTTCCAGGAAATGATAACCCTGGTGATAAACTGTCCCTGCCCTCCCTATCTTCATTGTACAGGCCTAGAAACTTGTGACGACAGAGGTTAGGTGACACCTGCGTGGCACAGTTCGTCTGCAGGGTGATAGGGCAAGCCTTTATCACTAGCAGGGTCAAAATTCCCTAAAGCCTCAGGACTTGGGCAGGCCTCAGCACACTCGTTCATAGTTTGTTTCCACTATTTTATTTTTTTGCTGAGAAGGGAGTCTCGCTATGTTGTCCAGGCTGGTCTCCAACTCCTGGATTGAGGCGATCCTCCCGCCTCAGCCTCCCAGAGTGCTGGGATTACAGGCACTGCACTAGGGGCCGCACCCGGCCCCATCATTTTAATGATTCATAATTACCACGCTTAGAAACCTGCCTCAGATCCATTCCCCCCGCAGCAACACCCACCGTCCATTCTCCTGTCCCCTGCACCCATGCACAGCCCTTACACCTGATCTTCAGGGATCTCAACTAGGGCACACGGTCTGGCCAGTGGGGAGCCTTCAACTAGTGCGGCTAGGACGCTGAAGGCCGGATGCAGGGAGCCTCGGTGTCCAGGCAGGAGATCTGGGGTTGCCTGAGCTTGGGGCGGGGAGAGCCGGAGACAGTGGGCACAGATGCCGAGGGGTTCATCTCCCCAACACCCCCAACCCAGCTCAGTCTCCAAGGCCCAAGCGGCTGCTTTTTGCGCCACCTGGCGGCCGTCTCCAGCGAGCAGAGTGCGAGTGTCCATGCCTGCGGGACCCGGTTCCCGTGGGGCTAGCGGGCGTGGGGCGCGCCCAGCTTGGAAAGCCGGGAACCGCGCGGCCCAGGGACAGGCAAGACTCCGGATTCAACCCCTGCGAGGCCCCGAGACCCAGCGCTCGCGATCCCAAGCGGCGGCGCACGCGTTCCCGGGGCGCTGCGGGACGCGAGGCAGCCAGAGCGAGCGTGCGCGCACGCGCCCATCCCACGCCGCGCCCCGCACCGCCGCGCGCGCGCACGCACGCCCCGACGCTGGCCTGCGCCGGCCGCTCTCCCACGCGGGGGCCTGGGGGTTCCCGAGCCCGCAGCCTCCGGAAAGCGGGCGCCGCGCGGTATTGCCGCCTGCACCTCGGGTGTGGGGACCCTGCTGCAGCAGCCCTGTCCACACGGGTGACCTCCTGGAGGGCGGGGCGGGGGGCAATCTGCGCGGGTCAGGCCCCTTGGAGCAGGCTAGGGGCGCCCGGGCCAGGCCGCTCCCACCTGCCAGCAGTGCGGCCAATGAATGCTAGGCCTGGTGATGTCATGCCCCGACCGGACCCTGGTGACGAAAGTCCGAGGTCACCCGTCAGGGAACCAGCGCAGACCCACCCGCGGGGATTCCAGAAGTTTCCACTGCCACCGCGGAGTGCGGCCTCGACCCGCAGCCTTGCGCGTGCCACCACGCTGGCCTGCCTTCTCAGGTGTCCCCGAGTCACCCTTTCCTCCCCCCGGGAGTCTCCTGTCTCCATGCCCCCCCACCTCATTTCCACTCGCGATCCCATGTTTACACCTCCATTCCCACAGGTGTCCCTTCATCCCCAGGAGTGTCCCACGTCACCATTTCTGCACCAGTGCCACCTGGACCCCTAACGGGACGGTCCTCGGCCACACTCCCACATGCCTCTCCAACCATGCCACCCCTGTCTCTGTCGTGGCCGTGGATGCATGGCCCCTTGGCCTTGCGCTAACTTCCCCAGCCTCGAGCGAGACCATCAGGGTGTCCAAGTGTGTCCGTCCGTCTGTGAAAGTCGGTGCCTGCGTTTGTCTGTGCCTGTCGCTGCATGAGGTCGTCCGTCTGCGCGTGTCTGTCTCCACGGGCTTCTGTCCGTCTGTCTGTCACGTGGGTGTCTGCTCCGCCGCTGCAGGTCTTTGGGTCGCGTCTGTCACTGCGCGTCTGTCGTCGGTCGGCGTCTGGCACTGGAGTGCGTCTGGGCCCCGGGGTCTCCGGGTCTCGGCTCCGAGGGAGGGAGAGAGAGGGGAGGTGGCCGCCCGGGGAAGCGGGGAGGGGCGGGGGCGGAGACAGTGGGCGGGGGCGGGCGGGGGCGCTGTGCAGCCCGCAGGGGGTGTGTGTGGGGGGCCGGAGGCGGCGGCTGTCAGAGTCGGCTCAGCCTGCGCCGGGGAACATCGGCCGCCTCCAGCTCCCGGCGCGGCCCGGCCCGGCCCGGCTCGGCCGCCTCAGGTGAGTCTCCCTCCCCGCCCGGGACACTCCTTCCGGCCCGCGTCCGGGACACCGTGCGCTCCCCGAAGGGTTCAGGCCCCCCTAACGGGACGGCTCCCGCGTCGCCGGGCCTGCCCAGCGCCGCCCTCCGCTGCCCCGCACTCATCCGGAACTCTTCCCCGGCCGCTTCACACTCACCGACGCCCACGCAGGAGCTCAAGCCCGCCGCCTCTGCGCTCCGATTCCTGCGGGGACCCCCGAGCGCCCTTTCCCCGATCGCTCCCTAGTCCGGGGCCACTGGAAGACACCCCCTGATTGGGGCGGTACCCGAGCTGCGCAGGTTCCCGGCGCCGGGCTGGGCACCCCCATCCACAGGGCCGCAAGCCCAGCGCCCCTGCGCAGCGCCCCGCAGAGGCCCCCTCCCAGGCCCAGGACGCCCCCTCCTGCGGAGACTCCATCTCTATTTTTTGGGAAGGGGAGGCTCAGCGGAAGCCCCGAGTTATAATTAGCGCCACTTGGGTTTCCTAGTTAATCTCCAGCAGCATCACCACCCCCAGCTCAGGACAGTGGGGGCTGGGCGAGGGGTGACCGGCGGGAGAGGGGGGAGTTCCCACCCGGGGAATTTTGATCCTTTGGCTGGAGATGCCGGAACCGTAACAGCTGCTGCCCCCAAAATAGCGCCCCCGCCCCTGCAGCCGGGGATCTCCGGAGCCCCGGGAACACAAGCGTCCTGGCTCGCCCTTCAGGCGGCTCTGCAAGGCCCTTGAGCCCCCAGTCCCCCACCCCAAGTTCCCGGCTCCAGGTTCCCGGCTCGGGGCGGGGAGCGCCAACCTTTTCTCGGTCTCTACTGCCCTCCGCCGGCGGCGGCGTGCACGGCAGCTTCAGACGGACGGGGGCTCTCGAGTCCTGGGGGACACGGGCTGGCTAGCCTGTTTGCTGGGGCTGGGCTGGGAGCGTGCGCAGCTGATGGGAACCCGCGGGCATCAGTGCTCGGTGCCAGACATTGGATGAGATGGGGCAGGGTTGGGGGGGAGTGGACTAGACAGGATTTGGGGGACCCCGGGACCTAAGGCTTCCACACCCTGAATGCCCAGCCCACCGTCCCCCAGGGCCCCGGGCCTGGCCAATGCAGGAGAGCGGGGCTGCGCCTTCAGGCCGCAGCAAGCTCCCCCAGCGGCGCCGCCCGTCCGTGAGGCCGCGCCCCTGTCGGGTGGCCTGTGCGTGGACTGAGGCCTCTGGTGCCCGCACTGCACGAGCTGGGCTCGGCCCAGTTCGGGGAAGAGGTGAGGGCGGCGGACTCCTGGGGGGTAGAGAGGGTGCTCTTCTCTGTTCATTTGTCTGGATGTGGGTGTCTGCCTGATCTCCGTCCCCTCCTGCCCAATGGCCTGTGTCCTTGTCTCTGCCTGTCTCCTTCCCTCCCTCCCTGTCTCCCCTCATCTTTGCCAACCTGCCCCACCTCCTCTGCAGCTGAGCGATAACCCTTGGGCCGACCATGTCCTAATCTCCTCCCTCCTGGCTTCTCGACCGACCTTTCACCCTTTCCCTTTCTTTCTCCCAGCAGACACCGCCTGCCCTGCAGCCATGAGGCCCCCGCAGTGTCCCCTGCACACGCCTTCCCTGGCTTCCCCACTCCTTCTCCTCCTTCTCTGGCTCCTGGGAGGAGGAGTGGGGGCTGAGGGCCGGGAGGATGCAGAGCTGCTGGTGACTGTGCGTGGGGGCCGGCTGCGGGGCATTCGTCTGAAGACCCCCGGGGGCCCCGTCTCTGCTTTCCTGGGCATCCCCTTTGCGGAGCCACCCACAGGACCTCGTCGCTTTCTGCCACCGGAGCCCAAGCAGCCTTGGTCAGGGGTGGTAGATGCTACAACCTTCCAGAGTGTCTGCTACCAGTATGTGGATACCTTATACCCAGGTTTTGAGGGCACCGAGATGTGGAACCCCAACCGTGAGCTGAGCGAGGACTGCCTCTACCTCAACGTGTGGACACCATACCCCCGGCCTACATCCCCCACCCCTGTTCTCGTCTGGATCTATGGGGGTGGCTTCTACAGTGGGGCCTCCTCCTTAGACGTCTATGATGGCCGCTTCTTGGTACAGGCCGAGAGGACTGTGCTGGTGTCCATGAACTACCGGGTGGGAGCCTTTGGCTTCCTGGCCCTGCCCGGGAGCCGAGAGGCCCCGGGGAATGTGGGTCTCCTGGATCAGAGGCTGGCCCTGCAGTGGGTGCAGGAGAACGTGGCAGCCTTCGGGGGGGACCCGACATCAGTGACGCTGTTTGGGGAGAGTGCGGGTGCTGCCTCAGTGGGCATGCATCTGCTGTCCCCGCCCAGCCGGGGTCTGTTCCACAGGGCCGTGCTGCAAAGCGGTGCCCCCAATGGACCCTGGGCCACGGTGGGCATGGGAGAGGCCCGCCGCAGGGCCACACAGCTGGCCCACCTTGTGGGCTGTCCCCCAGGCGGCACTGGTGGGAATGACACAGAGCTAGTAGCCTGCCTTCGGACACGACCAGCGCAGGTCCTGGTGAACAATGAATGGCATGTGCTGCCTCAAGAAAGCGTCTTCCGGTTCTCCTTCGTACCTGTGGTAGATGGAGACTTCCTCAGTGACACCCCAGAGGCCCTTATCAACGCGGGAGACTTCCACGGCCTGCAGGTAACTAGTGGGGGTGAAGCTGGCTCCTCTGGGTCCCAACAGTCCCTCCCTTCCCCCCAGGGACCCAAGCATGAGGGCTTCTCTAGACCCATTCCCAGAAGTCCCAGAAGTCCTCCCTGAGGGCTCAGATCCCAGGGTGGTCGGCAGGGCAGACAGGAAAGCCTCCATGGGTCTATTTTCTGTTTCTCTGAGTCCCTCCCCCGATCTCATCCTCTCTCTGTCCATGGTTCCAGGTCTGTAACTGTTCATCTCTCTGGCTCTTTGTCTGTCCATCTGTTTCTGTCTACTTGTCTGTCTGTGCCTGTCCCTCCATCCCACCCCGCTCTCCCTCACCCCCAGGTGCTGGTGGGTGTGGTGAAGGATGAGGGCTCATATTTTCTGGTTTACGGGGCCCCAGGCTTCAGCAAAGACAACGAGTCTCTCATCAGCCGGGCCGAGTTCCTGGCCGGGGTGCGGGTCGGGGTCCCCCAGGTAAGTGACCTGGCAGCCGAGGCTGTGGTCCTGCATTACACAGACTGGCTGCATCCCGAGGACCCGGCACGCCTGAGGGAGGCCCTGAGCGATGTGGTGGGCGACCACAATGTCGTGTGCCCCGTGGCCCAGCTGGCTGGGCGACTGGCTGCCCAGGGTGCCCGGGTCTACGCCTACGTCTTCGAACACCGTGCCTCCACGCTCTCCTGGCCCCTGTGGATGGGGGTGCCCCACGGCTACGAGATCGAGTTCATCTTTGGGATCCCCCTGGACCCTTCTCGAAACTACACCACGGAGGAGAAAATCTTCGCCCAGCGACTCATGCGATACTGGGCCAACTTCGCCCGCACAGGGTCAGCAGTGCAGAGGGAGAGGAGGCTGGGGAGGACAGGAGACGGGGGTGGGGAGACACCCACAAAGAGGCAGACACACACAGACAGAAAGGACGGGTGGGACAGGGGCAGGATAGGACAGCCAGAGAGGGACATGCTCACAAAGGAGATAAAAGGGGAGAGCAAAAGAAAGGAGACAGAGTAGGCAGAGGGAGTCTTGCAGAGACAGAGGCAAAGAAAAGTGAGGAAGAGACGAGATAGACACGGAGGGGGTGGGCACAGTGGCTCACCCCTGTAATCTCAGCCCTTTGGGAGGCCAAGGTGGGAGGATCCCTTGAGGCCAGGAGTTTGAGACCAGACTGGACAACATAACAAGACCCCGACTCTTACAAAGAAAAAAAAAAATACAAAACTTAGCCAGGTATGGTGGCTCGTGCCTGTAGTCCCAGCTACTTGGGAAGCTGAGGCAGGAGGATTGCTTGAGCCTGGGAGGTTGAGGCTGCAGTGAGCTATGACGGTGCCACTGCACTCCAGCCTGAGCTACCCTATCTCTAGAAAAAAAAAAAAAAAAAAAAAAAAGACGGCAGACCAAGACAAAGCAGTTGGAGCTGGATTAAACCAAACCAGTGATGATTCACTAGCAGTGACACATTCTCTCACACACACACCTGTTTACCTGGATCAAGAAGAGGACAATGAAATCCAGCATCGGATGGTGGTTGTTAAAAAAAAATGTGATGTTTGTAGACATAGGACCCGTCCTGGTTATTTAGGAAGGGCTTAAGACATCCTAGCCATTTTTTTAGTGGGAGAAACAAAGATGGAACAGAAAAGCTGAGGGAAACGGAGAGGAGACAGGGAGCATAGGCGGAAGGGAAGACCCCATGACCGGGCGCACTGGAGAAGGGAAAGAAGTGACTTGGTGGTGGGAGGGAGGGGACGAGATCTCTGGGGCTCTCCGCAGAACTGAAGAGTCCGGGTCCCGTGGGGTTGGGGGCCGCCTCCTCCCACTGCCCGTCTGGACTGAGCCTTCCCTTCCTTCCGCAGGGACCCCAATGAGCCCCGAGACCCCAAGGGCCCGCAATGGCCCCCGTACACGGCGGGGGCTCAGCAGTACGTGAGTCTGGACCTGCGGCCGCTGGAGGTGCGGCGGGGGCTGCGCGCCCAGGCCTGCGCCTTCTGGAACCGTTTCCTCCCCAAATTGCTCAGCGCCACCGGTACGCAGGGGCCAGCGGGCAGCGGCTGGGAGGAGGGGAGTGGGAGCTGGCCAGGTGTAACCCCTCTCTTCTCCCCCTAGCCTCGGAGGCTCCCAGCACCTGCCCAGGCTTCACCCATGGGGAGGCTGCTCCGAGGCCCGGCCTCCCCCTGCCCCTCCTCCTCCTCCACCAGCTTCTCCTCCTCCTCCTCTCCCACCTCCTGCGGCTGTCACCACGGCCTCTTCCCCTACGGCCACAGGGGCCCCTCCTCTAATGAGTGGTCGGACAGTGGGGAAGGGCCCCACTCAGGGATCTCAGACCCAGTGCCCCCTCCCTCCTCAAACCAAGAGACTCACACTGGACAGGGCAGGAGGAGGGGACCGTGCCTCCCACCCTTCTCAGGGACCCCCACGCTTTTGTTGTTTGAATGGAAATGGAAAAGCCAGTATTCTTTTATAAAATTATCTTTTGGAACCTGAGCCTGACACTGGGGGGGAGAGGGAGGCCCTGGGCTGGGTAGCACCCCCCACTGGGGCTATAACGGTCAACCATTTCTGTCTCTTCTTTTTCCCCCAACCTCCCCCTCCTGTCCCCTCTGTTCCCCTGTCTTCCGGTCATTCTTTTCTCCTCCTCTCTCCTTCCTGCTGTCCTTCTCTGGCCCCGCCTCTGCCCTCATCCTCCCTCTCGTCTTTCGCTCATTCTCCTGATCTTCTTGCCACCGTCCCACGTGGTCGCCTGCATTTCTCCGTGCGTCCTCCCTGCACTCATGCCCCCACCCACCCGCCCAAATGTCCGATCCCCGACCTTCTTCGTACCGTCCTCCCCCCCGCCTCGCCGGGCGCCCTGGCCGCAGACACGCTCGACGAGGCGGAGCGCCAGTGGAAGGCCGAGTTCCACCGCTGGAGCTCCTACATGGTGCACTGGAAGAACCAGTTCGACCACTACAGCAAGCAGGATCGCTGCTCAGACCTGTGACCCCGGCGGGACCCCCAAGTCCCCCGCTCCGCCCGGCCTCCTAGCTGTATATACTATTTATTTCAGGGCTGGGCTATAACACAGAGGAGCCCCAGACCCTACCCATCCACACCCCACCCCCGACGTCCCCCGGGGCTCCCGGTCCTCTGCATGTCTCGGACTGAGCTCCCTCCCCCGCGGTGCCTTCGCCCCTCTGGGCTGCCAATAAACTGTTACAGCCACGGGAGTGTGCGCAACTAGGGAGCTAGGGGTAGGGGCAGAACGCCGGAATCACGAGGGCCGAGTCTATGCAGGAGCGGGGCTGCAGGTCAAGAAACAGGCGAGCTCCGAGGCGGCCCCAAGGCGCCTGCTCATTCCAGCGAACGCCAATCCCCCGCCCTGCCCCGCCGGGCGGAGCTCGCGCCTGCGCAATGAGGGCCGCGGGTCGTCAGGCTGGCACGGCGGAGGGGCGAAGGGGCGGAGGGGCGGAGGGGCGGAGGGGCGGAGGGGCGGAGGGGCGGAGGGGCGGAGGGGCGGAGGGGCGGGGCGCGGCGGAGCATTGTGGGAGCTCCTGGGTCGATGCCGCTAGGTGGTTGCCGCTTGCTGCCTGCAGTGATCAACGAGGCCGGGGGAGCGCGTCCCCAGCCTGCGCGCCAGTCCTGCGGCAGCTGACCAAAGACCCGGAGCCGAAAGGAAGTGTTGGGGCCTGAGGTCGCTCTGCGCCGCTAGGAGGACGCTGTGCCTGGCCTGGGACCTCCGCTCCCGCCCACCGCCCTGGAGCTGCTGAGGGACGTCCACGTGGGCCTGCCTCCGCCGAGCCGCGGCCCTGCCCGCCTGGCGCTGCTCTCGGGCCACTACCTCTACTACCACTACGGCTGCGACGGCCTAGACGATCGCGGTTGGGGCTGCGGCTACCGCACTCTGCAGACGCTGTGCTCGTGGCCGGAGGGCCAGCCCGCAGGCGTACCCGGACTGGCCGCCGTGCAGGCGGCCCTGGAGGACATGGGTGACAAGCCCCCCGGCTTCCGGGGCTCCCGGGACTGGATCGGCTGCGTGGAGGCCAGCCTCTGCCTCGCTCACTTCGGAGGGCCCCAGGGGCGCCTCTGCCACGTACCCCGGGGAGCGGGGCTGCATGGGGAGCTGGAGAAGCTTTACTCCCACTTCGCAGGGGGCGGGGGCCCAGTCATGGTTGGAGGGGACGCGGATGCCAGGTCTAAGGCCTTGCTGGGAATCTGCATCGGGTCAGGAACGGAAGACTATGTCCTGGTATTGGACCCTCACTACTGGGGCACTCCAAAAAGCCCCAGTGAACTACAAGCTGCTGGGTGGGTGGGCTGGCAAGAGGTGAGTGCAGCCTTTGACCCCAACTCCTTCTACAACCTGTGCTTGACCAGCCTTAGCTCCCAACAGCAGCAACACACCTTGGACTGAGGGCAAAGTTACAGAACTGAGATTCTCGGGTCCCAGACATGCACCTTTGTACCTCCCACTGGTGTCCCTGCAGAGCCTGGCGCTTTTGACATCAATAATAAAAGTGGCAGGGCTGAGCAACACCTCAGGAGTTACTGTGGAAGGATGGGGGAGGTATGTAACACACGAGAGTCAGGAGCCCTGTGGAAGTGCTTTTATTGGCAGTAAGGCTGATCGTACAAAAAATTCTCAGAGCTGGATGGGACAAGGTAGTCACGAGTATGGATACAGGAGTGAGGAACGGTGGACGGCTCAAAAGAAATCAACATCGTCTGGGGCATCCAGGTCCCGATATTCCACAATGGCCCTTGGGTCTCCACGAACCATCCTGTGAAATGAGAGGTAAAGGATGAGAGCTGGGGGCTCCCAAAAGGGAGTTTGCAGGCAGCAACAAAGCTTGGGTGTCTGCCCTCCTTACCTGTTGCGAGGTTTCACATCTGCCCTTCTCCTTACCTGTTGCGAGGTTTCCCAGGATAACCTCCCTGGCCTCGGAAGGCATCGTAGTTCCCTCGACCAGCACCATATGGGGCGTGGGGGTATGGAGGGCCTCCTGTGGGGACTGCAGGGCGGACAGCACCAGCTATGACAGAGATTAGTGTTGAGTTGCAAAACTATGTCCTCAACTCCATCCTGTTTCCTTCTCCCAACGCCACACACTCACCAAGCCCCTTCATCTCCCTCCTGTACTTACCTCCGTAGCCCAAGATCGGGGGCCGGGGCTGACCGTAGGGCATAAGGCCCTGGGGAGTCTGGTGTGGGTAGGGGAGTCCCGGGGTCAAACCTGGGGGGAGTACAACACGGACAGGGACATGAATTACTGCGGGGGTGGGAGGGGGATGGGTACAATTGACTTCTAGGGCTATGGCCTGAGGATGGGGCAGAAACTTTTCGGGGTGACATGTTAAAGAGAAATGGGAGTCCCTGGGTAATCAAGGGAGAGGGGACATGCGACCTTCATGGATCGTATCTTACTCTGGGCAGGGCCAGGTGGTTGGGCTGGCTTGATCTCAGGCAGAGCTGGGCGCTTGGCATCAGTGAGGAAGTTGTTAAAAAACGCCACCTCCTTTTTCACTTCCTCAATTTTCTCTGCGTGCTTGTTGAAGATATGTTTGCGCACAAACTCAGGACCCTGGGTGGAGAGAGGAGCGGGGTCAGGACAGCCAGGTAATGGTTGCCTCGCTCCCAGGCCCGACCTGGAAGGATTTCCAGCTCCCACCTGCCAGTCCAGTGAGCAGTTCCCCCACCCCTGCCCTTTAGGGGCCTTTAGGGGGCCTTTAGGGGGCTTCCTGTCTCAACCCCACCTCCCACCACTGTAGCACGGCCATTCTCCAACATCCCAGACCTTGAATTTCTTGCCACTGAGAGGACACAGCCACTTATCCTTGCCCAGTTCCTGCGTGTTGGAGGTGACAAACTTCTCCACTTCCTGCTCCGGGTCTTTGCGCCCCATCTTCTGGGCCTCTTCCTCTGAGAGCGACTCCCGCACACTCAGCAATGGCGTGAGCTTCTCCTCAAACGTCTTTTGCCACTCCAGCACTGTGGTTTGGGAACAGAGAAAGGAAGGTTGGGAAGGAAGCCAGAAGGAAGGACGATGGCAAGGGGCTGGAGGACCGAGGCCAGGGGCAGCCGGCGACAAAGGGGAACCTGGAGCTCACCTTCCCCGTGACTGATGCGGTTGGGTGGCATGGGCCCCCGAACGTGGATGATGCCACAGCGATTGGGCATCTCGTCCTCATTGGGGTACTCACAGGTGTTGTAATAATCCAAGGAATGCACGATGCGCAGGTAAAGGAGGAGCTTGTCCAAGACCTAAGGGAAGTGAGTGCGAGTGCTCAGCTCCTGCCCTCACCACCTGAGCCCCCACGTGCCCCGTGCTGCCACTGGCACCTTGATCAACTTCTCATCCCGCTCCACGTTGATCTCTGCCGGGTTCCCTTCCTTAGGAGGCTCCTCAGGAGGGGCGCCCCCGCTGCTCCCCAGCAGCTCCTCCTCCTCAGCGCTCACTTCCTCGATCAGGTAGTCGGTGATATTCTTCAAGATCGGGTTTTGTGAGGGCAGGCTCTGGTGGGAGGAAGACAGGCAAGTAAGGCAGAGAAAGACCTTCAGGGGAGGTAACCTGAGACCTTCTACAAGTGAAAGAGCAGCGAGAGAACAAGAGTTCACTGGACATAACTGGCGCCTTTTGCCCCCTTGAGATTTGTCTTCATTTTAGCTTTTGTTCCACCCCAGCCACAAATGATCACTAGCATCCCCCCGTTCTGCTGGAAGCTGGAGAAGGTGCTACCCACACAGGGAGGGACAAATGAGTGAGCAGGCAAGTGGGTGCAAGGGGGTTAAGGCTACAGATAGGTGAGGTCAGAGGTGCCCACAGCAGAGGCACCATCAGCTGCTTCTGACAAAGTCCTTTGGGGAGTCACTGACCGTTGGCAGGGGAGGCGTCCCTGGTTCCGAGGCCCAAAGCTGGGTCCTGTCGTCCAGCGTGTGGATCAGCTTGGCTGCCAGCTTGATGTCGTTGCGCACAATCTGCTTGTGCTGGGTGATGCCATTGATATTGCGAACGCGCCGGGTCAGGTCCCTGTTCACACCAGGGCTCAGCTCGCACTCCCGGAGCTGGAGGGCAGACATCATTGGAAGCTTATCCCACTTACCCCACTTGCTGGAGAAGTAGCAGCTCTAAGACCCTCCCCTCTTGAGCACCAGCGATTGATCAGACTGCAAGCTCCCTGGGGACGGGGACCACATAGGTCCTGTCCATGGTAACAGCCCTAGAGCCTTGCCCAGAGACAATGTAGGCAGACGAAACGGTCAAAGAGGATGCAGAACAACTGGCCTATCAGACGAACAAAGTCATGCAGAGGTCCCGTGGGGCATAGAGAGCCTCCCTTCCTCTTCCCCACAGTCCCACCCGGAGCACTCACACGGATGTTCTGCAGGTTCCAACAGATCTCTTTAATGTTAACACTGCGGTCGAAGGTCACCCAGCCACGACGGAAAAACCTACATAAGAAAGAAAATGTTAGCACAGTCAAGCAAGGGAGTTGGTGTTGGCCATTAACATTCCCCTGCACTTTTCCCTCCAACACAACGAGTTACTCACCTCCTCTCTGGCTGGGGCTCTGAGAGCGCCACCCGCATAAAGCCTGGGTACCTTTTACAAAGCTGCAAGAAGCAGAAAACCAGCCCCATGTAGTGACTCAAGGATTCACTCGCTTCTTCCTCCAATCCCCCACTGTCCTCAGAACCCTAGGACTAACTGCTTTGTCACTCTTCCCATCCTTGGGCAGGGAAAAACCACTAAAGGGCTTCAAACACCAGCACCTGAAAGCCAATGGCGTGATCAGGACTAGTCCTCAGAGGCCATGGGCCCTGGGGAAGGGGCCTCCCTAACAGGTGAAATGGGGGCATCTGTCACAGGCAGGGCCCCACTGCCTTCCCTCTGCCCTCCACTTCTCCATCGGCCCTGCCCCGACTCCATGGGTCCCCACTCACGGAGATGATCTCAGCCCGGGAGATGTTGGGCGCAATGTTGCGCATGAAGAGGGAGCAGGTCTTATGCAGCGGCCGCGGCTTGCACTCCAGCCCGGCGGCATCCTTGGGCTTCTCCCATTCTTCTTCCTTGGGCTTCTCCTTCTCCTTGAGCGCTTCTTCTGGGCAGGAAGGGGTAGGAAGGAGTTGGTGCATTTTTATTACTGATTTTGATGGGGAGGATAGAGAAGCTTTCCCCTAAAAGCCACCCTCCCTCCCACATCAATGTCACCAACCGCTCACCTCCCCACCCGCATTAGAATGCACTTTAGAAGCACAAAAGAAACCCTACCGGCCTCCTCCTTCTCCTCCTCAGCCTGGCCGCTCTCGGACTCCGACTCGGACTCCGACACACTGCCCTCATCAAAGCTGTCGTCCCCGCTGTGCTTCCGGTTCCGCTTCTTGCTACTCTGGGCAAGCCACAGCGGAAGGGACAAGTCAGTGTGCCAGGACCCCAGCAACGACACTCTGACCCCAGGTCATAGACACCTCACCTTTTTGGCTTCTTTCTCAGAGTCTTCTTTCTTCTCTTCCTTGTCCCCGTCACCCTCCGACTTCTTCGTTTTGTCATCATTAGAACTGTCATTCTCGGACTATGGGAAGAGACAACCACTGGGGATGTCAAACCTCCCCTTCCACCTTTATCAGAGGGCCACCACCCTGACAGCTGAGGCCACAGGTTCATTTTCTCCACCCCTCCCAGAACACAGCCCCGCACTTGTAGCTCCTTTGGACCCCGAGGCAGCACTAGAGGCCCGGCGCTCGGACCTGCTTGCCGTCTTCCTTCTTCTCGTCCTTGTCGTTTGTTTTACGCTCCCCGTCCCCAAGGCCTGCTCCAGCCCGTCCTTCCTCTTTCTTGCCAGGCTCCCCAGGCTTTCCTGCCTGTTCCTCCTCCTCCTCCTGCTCCAGGATGCGGAGATCATTCTCTGTGCCTCCTTCCATCTTAATCACAGCTACCAACAAAGGGAACAGAGTTCACAACCCCAGGGCCCTGGCTCCTGTCAACCCGTATCTGCCTGGTCCCCAAATACACCCACCCCAAATGCCTGCCAGCCCTCCAAATCCACACACCTGCATCCAGCATCTTGACGATGGCATCAGCTTTGTCTATGTCCAGGAGAAGATTATCAAACCAGCCAGTCTCCATGAGGGACAGGAAGACCCTCAGACGGTTTTGCAGGCCCCCCCGGGCCTCCTGCCGACGCTTCCCCACCTCATCTGGGTGGTACTTAGACCGAAACCTGGGAACGAAGCGGGGGAGGGAAAGACAAAACAATTACTGGAAGCCAAAGCCAGGATGTGGGAAGGGGCCCAGGAAAGACAGGGCATAGCCCCCATCCTCTCACACCCACAAAAGGTCATCAAAACAGAGAGATTAGGGGATAGGGTTGCACTAGAACCACCCAGCACCCCAAAGGGAACCAGAAGTTGTGCTCTGAGAAGATCTGGGGGAAAACCAGGAACTAAGAGCTCTGGATTTGGGAAGACCAATGACTACAGGGGGACGCCAGGGTTGGAGAGGCAGATTTACCACTTTAAGTCTCTGGGAAACACTAAC